TGTGGAACATGGATGGTGACACATTGATCTCTTGAGTTTTACTTAATTTCTCCCTTCGGACCCTTTCCTTGATCCTGTTAAGAACTTCTGAAATGGGTTTCTCGAGTGCGTTGACATCATTCTCCAGGCCGGCCACTGAAAGGACACCACTGGTTTTATCAGAAACTACAACAACATCTTCCTTCTGCAGTTTCTCTTTAATCTTCTGCTCAGACTCCTCCCATGCCTCCGACTCCAGGGAGAACTTGATGGCTTTGAATTTTGACACAGCCTGAGAAAAGGCTGCCTTCACAGTATCTGCCCACTCTTTGATGATGACTTTGGCATCTTTTTGCTTCAGTAATGAGGGCGAGGCACTGAGGCGGACGGCAGACTGCTCCAGGGTTACGTTGCAGAAATGTTTTTCCAAGTCACGGCCAATGGTCTCCAGAGCCGCTTTGTGGTTAGCTAGGTATCTGAGGACAGCGTTGTCAATGGGCTCAGAGATGGCAGCAGGAAGCTTTGGTGATGGCTTATCTTTCCCATAAAGTGCTACTCCCAAAGATTTGTAAAACGGGTAGACTTTGACTTCTTCCTTCTTTATTTCATGCTTCTTACCCAAGATGTTCTTAACATCTGTGGATTAAAACACAATGTTACACTCCACAATTCAATATTTTATTAGTAGTCACTTCTGTTAAACAGAGAATACTGTCAGAATAAACTGCAGTAATTAGAAGATGGGACATGTGAACTACCTTTGTGATTCTTAAATATGATGACAGCAGACTGTTCAGCTTCATTCAGTTGAACATCTTCCACGTCTCCCCCTTTACTCTCAAAGTAGAGACACAGCATGTCTTCACTGCAGTTCGAAACTCCTTCAACCACAATCTTCTTTGTGGTCTCAAGGGGTCGGACTGATAAGTTCTTCTTTGTAAACATCCGATTTTGAGGACATCTTTCTATAAACTCAGTGTTATCTGTGAATTTAAAATAAAAACATCATATTTCAAGTTGTTCTAATATAATTGAACAAGCATCAACTAAGTTGGTACCTTTTCCACTCTGGAAAGTGACAACGGCAGAGGAGATGTCAGGGATCAGTTCCAGGTTGTAGTCCTGGGAGGCAGTCGGAGAGCTTAGGTCTCTCAAAATGTTCTCCACAATCATTTCCAGGAACTCTGAGGTTAAAGAATCTGGAATATTCCCTAAAACAGCCGACTTGGAGCACTGCTCATCATCATCTGAATCGCCATCGTTGCCTTTTGCCCCAGTCTGACCTTCATCCACAGGGTTGGGTTCTTGAACTTTGGACTGTTTGTTGGTCCCTTCATGGTCCGCTGTTATTGAAAAATGAAAGATGAATGAGTAAAACCTGTTTTTTTACTTACCACTGAAACGAGTCAATCAGAAGAAAAGTAGGTCCCTAAGTATTGACTGTATTATTATTATGAGCTAAAGAAAAGCTTCTATTAGATGATCCATCTAATTATCACCTTAATGTGGACATATCATATCTACTTCAGTTTTATTTTTATTTAACTGAAGAAAGTTATGCACATCCACACATTGACTGGTTTTAAGTATCTTAACACTTCAGTCGGTTCATAATTACCTGATGACATGGTAATTCTGAACCATGTCATCTGCATCATTATGGTAACTTATCTTGTTATTTATTGTAATCTAAGTTAATGTCAGCATGTTGATATTTAACAACATGGATCCTTGGGGAATCCCTCATCTGATTTTTGTCAGGTCCAATGAAAACTTAACTATTGGCACATAGAGCTGAGTGCTGTACCAGAAAGTCTGACCAAGTCTCCAGTTCTAATAAAAACATGCAATTCAATAGGTTTTTTAAAAATGTGGAAAGTACATTTTGTCAGCGATAACTGTAAAACTTATAGAAGAGTAAAAGAAAGTCTCATTTTAGCAGAAAGCTGTGGCACAATAGTTGCCATCAACCACCATAAATATTTTAAACCTCTGAAGCTTAAAATCAAAACTGAAAGTATTTCTGACAATCAAACTCAAAGTATCACTCAGCGTGACCAGCTGCAGGTACCTCAAAGCAACCATGAACGTTTACAGTCCAGCAAGGAAGCAGGTTTTATGCAACTGATGGTCACTGTTTTTATTGTTATATACAGGCTTATTCTTCTTCAAGAGATTTAGTAATAATTTTATGTGCATGGATGCAGACACGCCTTTAAAACAAGGTTTTCTTACATCTTTGTCAAAACATAATAATTTAATAATTTATAGTAAGGTCATTATTATCCATTATTTTTTTGTTTGAAAGCTTATATTAAGAAATATCTTCTGAGTACAGAAAGCGAGACATGAAACTTATAAAGTAAATCCCATCATTATTTGTAATCTCCTTTAAATATATTTACTAATTTAATGCAGATTAGTAAAACATATTTAAACCATGGAAAAAACAGACAGTCACAACCTTGTAGTTTGAAAATCTCTGTCTCCCTCTGCTGCAGTAAACTTAAAACAGCACTTCAGTTTGTCAGAGGAGTACAGAGGAATGTAATGTTCCAGGGACCATTATGAGTATTTGTTAGTTAGTCCAAAGGTTTTTTCCTTGGTTTGCAAAAGTATTCAGTCCCCTTTCCTCCAAGTTCAACAATTTCCTTCAGAAGTTGCCTGATGACTGCTAATGACATCAGACAATTTAGATGACACAGTCATCTAATCTACAACAGATTATGTCATTTAATCTCAGGACAAATCCAGCTGCTCCTTGACAGCCTCAGATGTTGGTTAAGAAAATATCATGAAGTCTTTATCCCAGACAGATCTGGAATAAAGTTGTAGAGAAGTTTAAAGCAGGTTTAGGCTATAAAAAGATTTCCAAAGCTGTGAAATCCTCATGGAAATGATTGAACATCATTCCAGGATGATGGATCCATCAACCGGGAATGGAAAGAGTATGGTACAACTGTAAACCTACCAAGACAAGGCCGTCCACCTAAACTTCCTGGCCGAACGAGGAGAGCACTGACCAGAGATGCAGCCAAGAGGCCCATGGTGTCTCTGGACCAAATTCAGAGATCCCTGACTCAGGTGGGGGAATCTGTCCACAGGACAACTATTAGTCATCACTGCATAAACATGGTCTTTATGGAAGAATGGCAAGAAGAAAGCTATTGTTAAAAGAAAACCATCATAAGTCCTGTTTGCAGTTTGCCAGGAGCCATGTGGAAGAAGGAGCTTTGATCAGCCCAGACTACATTTGAACCTTTTGGCCAAAATGCAAAACGCTATGTGTGATGGAAAACTAACACTGCACATCATTCTGAACATCCACCCCCATGGTCAAAACTGGTGGTGGCAGCATCATGCTGATGGATGGGGCCAAATACAGGGCAATCTCGGACGAAAATCTGCTGGAGTCTGCAAAAGGCTGAGGTTCATCTTCCAGCAGGACAACCACCCTAAACATAAAGGAATACTTTAAAACATTCCATCAGAATGGCCCAGTCAAAGTCCAGAATGTGTGCAAGATCTGAAAACTGCTGTTCACAAACGCTTTGTATCTAATTTGACTGAGCTTCAGCTGTTTGGTAAAGAACAGGCAAAAATTTCAGTCACTAAACGATCAAAGCTGGTAGAGAAACACTAAACGACTTCCAGCTGGATTTGCAGCAAAAGGTGGTTTTGCAAACCGCACTTTTCAGTTTTTTATTTGTAAAAAATGTTTTGAATCATGTACACTTCTCTTTCTACTTCACAATTGGACACTTTTTGTTGCTGTTTCACACTAAACTCCAATGAAATATATTGCGTTTGTGGTTGTAATGTGACAAAATATGAAAAGGTTCAAGGGGTGTGAATACTTTTGCAAGCCGCTGTATTAAATAAGTTTCTCATCTCTGGCAGATATTTCCTTCATAGGTACTTACACTTTTTGCTCCCTTTCTCAGTTGAATCCCCCTGTTGAAAACAAAAACATTTTAGACATTTGTTGGAAATGCTGATGAATTTTACATTCAAGAACTGGTTAGAAAAGGATAAGTGGGTTTATTCTGTGAAATATCCTCAAACACAGAAAGTGAAAGGACAAAAGCAGGAATAAAATCAGAACCTTCTTGGATTCTGATCAGTCATATGACTTGCAGTAAACAATAAAACCCTGCAGGGCCAGGTCTTTATTAGCAGCTGGGAGTTTAAACAGAAAGCTAAGAACGTGTTCAAAGGGTCAGCATCATTAAGATAAAAGCCATAAAAGTTAACATGAAATGAGTTTACCGATTAATAGACATAAAATAAATCACACCCACAAAGACAAATATGAACATGTTTGCAGCCTGGAGGCGAGTGTTATGTCACAGCATTTTATGAGATTACAGGAAGTAACTCAGGTTAGATCAGTATTCCATTAATTATTCCAAATAATATTCCAATAATCATAAGTAAAGCAGTACTCCTCTGATAGCGTGTAAATAAACCTAATTTCCACTTTTTAGCTTCACCTGCTTCTGTTTTCCGTCTGAAGGAAGGCGGACTGTCATCTTTAACACTCCTTTATCCAAACTGATCTGGTGCGCCTCTTTTCCCAGGACATTTTTCTGGTCTGAGAGAGAAACCGGGGTAAATCCAGCAGGTTTTACTCAGGACTGATCAGAAATCAGACAGTCCGGGACTCACCTTCCTCTCTGCGGAAGCGCAGCAGCGCAGTTTGGCTCCCGGACTCATAGTCCACCTCACAGTCTCCTCCGTTGGACTTTTTACTCTGAAAATATTTCACCAACTTATTTTTCAGTCTCGGTGTGTTGCTTTCTTCTAACTCCACCAGAACAGGGAAGGCGTATTCCTCCGCCATGTTGCTGGCCTCTCTCTTTTCTGACCTGACTGAACACTTTCGGTTTTGTTTCTGGTGAAACGACGGGAGGCGGACTTTTTACTCACGCAGCTGCGGAGCTTTGCGGGATTGGCGCAGAAGGAGTCGCAGCAGGAAGACCGACATGTTTTGTTCGTTTATTTTGGAGACTTATTAACTCGAGCAGCAGTTCAACCAGTTAGAACTGGTCCACACCCAGTTTACTTTCAGTTTTCACTCGGGACTTTCCACGCCAGGCAAGGTAAGGGATGGCCTCTTTATTTCTTCTCTTTTAAACGAAAGTACTCATTTATGGTTAACGCGTTTAGTTTTTATTTAACATTAATGATTAGCTGGACTGAAAATAGTTTAGTCGATCATAATTCGCATTTGGATGTGACTTAAAGTGATCGCAGGTGTTAAGATTTGATTTCAATAACAGAGGATCGGGAAAATGGCGACAAGAATCTGAAACCATTCAGTTAATATATGTTAGGTCAGTTTAAGATTGAATTATTACGCTGCATTTGCTTGCAGCTTTGCATAAAGGAAAGCGTAAACATGCAACACCGAAATGTGAAAAATTAGAGCAAATATTAAATGTAATAACTAAACTAGAAATCAGGATGTTTACTTTATAGTTGAGGTAGAGATGGTGTTTCTGTTCAGGCTGCGCTAAACCAAATTAATATGATCTGAAGGTCTTTTATTTTAATCATCCGTCTCCCTCTGCTGGAACAAAATTAAAATTACATTTTAGTTTTACTAAAATGTAATTTTAGTAAAACTAAATTTTACTAAATTTTATAGAAATTTGAATCTATAAAATTAAAATTCATGAAAACTTTCTTGATCCAAGAGGAAAATCAATGATACAAACTGCATCCTCATAAATGTGTTTCCAATTCAAACAGTTCTGCTGTTATGGGTTTCATTGTTTGTGATAGGGGAACAAAAGCTGCAATTGTATATATTATCTACTTTAACTGTTCCAGCTCACATAACTCATGAATAAAACAAAATATGAAAAAAAATGTCTTATTGTAACAATTTCTTGTGATTATTTTAAACTTAACATTTCCTTTTAGCTTTACTTCAAAGAATCCTTTGATATGTCAGCATTTCTAAATTGGTAGTACTGGATATATACTATTTAGGTTAGTTTATAATTATGAACTTGAACACTGATTTACACTGATATATTGGACTATTTTCACTACCTAAAGTCAGTAAATGTCTAGTGTGTTTAAATCACATCTTTATCAACAGTCTGTATAACTTATTGTCCCAATGTTGGTAATTTTACTTTAAAAAATGCCATGAAATGACACCATTTGCTGGATTTTGGTGTTGTTTTGATGCCAAAACCCAAAACCTTTTTGGCAAGTGTAGGGAGAAAATCCATCAGAAACTTGATTTAGCATCAGAAAACAGATCAGCATCTCCTGAATGGATCTTTATAAATCTTATTTAATTGAGTTGTTATGATGTTACGTATGATCTTTCCACAGGTTTGCCAAGAAACCATGGCCAATAAACTGGACATTTCTCTGCATGAGGCGTCACTCAGCATTGTGAGAAGATGTGGAGCCGATCTGTGTGAAATCATCGATAGTAAATTTGGATGTGTGGCCACCATCGAGGGTGTGGAGAATGAGAGCAGGACTTCATACCTGCAACCGCCAGCAACCATTAAACCAGAGAGAAGATATGAGTTCACGATGCGTTCAGGTGTAAAGGTTTCTGTGTGGAAAGCTGATCTCACCAGTTTCCTTGCTGATGCTGTTGTGAATGCTGCTAATGAAGATTTAAATCACTGTGGAGGCCTTGCTCTGGCTCTGTCTAAAGCTGGGGGTCCTCAAATCCAAATGGAGTCTGCTGATTATATTAGAAAGCATGGTAAATTACAAACTGGGGAGGCAGTAGCTTTGGGTCCAGGGTCACTACCATGCAGGAAGATAATTCATGCTGTGGGTCCATATCTGCCACCAAATCCTCCCAAATATGATATAAGTAAAGCTAAGCCTTTTCTGGAAAAAGCCATCAAGAGTATTCTCGACAAAGTTGATAAATTCCATCTGGTGACTGTTGCCATTCCTGCTATAAGCTCTGGGTTGTTCAACTACCCACTGCCAGAATGTGCACACACCATAGTGTCAACTATAAAAACCTACTATGACAACCTGTCTTACCAGAACCATCATCCCAAAGAAATTTTCCTTGCCAACCATGATGATCCCACAGTGCAGGAAATGGAGAGAGCTTGCAATTGGATATTCGGTTCTCAGCAAAAGCAAACTTACAGCAATGCTGTAGCACAAAATACCCGAAGCGCCGGAAACGCCCAACAACCTTCAGTCAAGATCGGAAATGTCCTTCTCACTCTGAAGAAGGGGAAAATTGAAGAGGAAAACGTAAGAATTAATTCAACATATTTATT